CCCCAAAACCCCAAAACCCCAAAACCCCAAAACCCCTAAATCTGGATATTTGGTTGAAGAATTGCGTATTTTTGCAAAATTATTCTTCAAGTACTTTCTGGAGACTTTCATCTAAATTTTCAGTTTTTGGCAATGGCAACTCATTTGGGTCTACAAAAGAGTAATATGAAGATGAGAGTACCAATTATGTTGAACAGAGTTCTAGAGAGGTTAACCATAAATACTTACTTGAAGTAGTCCAAATCACGTGCTGCAATTTTATCTATAAATTTATGAGAGATCCCTTTTAGAATGTTTGACAGAAATTTCTGAAATCTGTAGGATTTTTAAGCTTAAGGTTATAACAAATCAGTGGTTGGATAGGGACAGAGAGATTTTGATAACTAGTTTACCGTTTTTATCAAACTCTCCTTTCGAAATATAGACCCCTTGGATATATGACCAAGTGGTCACAGCAGAGGGGTTTAGAGATAGACAGTTAAAGAAACATCTGAGAGCATTATGGTAATCTTCTTTTTGATTATATGCTACTCCAAGATTGTTCCAGCCTCTTGGAAGATTGGGTCTAAGCTTCATGGCTGTCTCATAGCATATAATAGCTTTATCTGATTTAAGTGAATTGTTAAAGGCAGCACCAAGCTTATTCCACAGGCTGTAATCTTTTGGATCTGCCTTTACTGCATTTTTGAAGCTCTCAGCTGCAGCATCGAAGTCGGGGTATGTGAAAGCTATGCATATATTTATTTAATACAAGAATAAAAGTACCTATGACTCCAAGCAAAGTCAACAGTTGAGTATCTTCAGGAGTTATTTTCTCGATAGCTTTGATAACTTTTTCTAACTCTTTTGCTTCTTCTGTTAGATCCTCAATTTCTAATGTTGCTTTCACTTCAGGGTATTTTTCATTCTGGATAGTCCATTGCTTGATTGTCGATAAGCATCTTTCCAATTTTCATTCGTTGATATAAGATACTGCTAGCTTTACTAGTGCTGAGTTTTTTTCAGGGGAAGAATCTGAACCATACAGAGCAATGGCTTTCTTGAGGCAATATATAGCCTCAATATCCTGATCTCCTTCTTGTTTGAGAGTGCCAAGTAATACCCATTGCTCTTTGTTGTCCTCATTAGAGGCTAGATCAGCTTCAGCTGCAAGGATAGCTTTGTTGATTTTCATTTCTGAATTAAACTGCTGTGCCTTCTTTGTCAGATTTGTTTCATTAAAGAATTCGTTCTCCGTTTGGAACTTATATTCCTCAGTATTTTCCCTAAAAAGACTTGAAAAAGAAAATTTTCTAACAAACTTACTCTGAAGCTCCAGCTAGAGCAAGCTCAGAAGTCTCTCTGGATTGATCACCAAGGTTAAACTCCTGCATCATAGCTTGGATTTCCTCTTCACTTAGCCCATCTGGGTTGCCAAAATCTATAAAAATATACCAAGATAAACTCAAAATCGAACAAATGCATCTCCCCAACATCCCAGGACTCCATCACAGCTTGACCAAACCCCATATACTTACTAACAGGTATATTCGGTGTCAAATTTGTCTGAACCACTCTATTATCCTGATTATCCATTTCCTAAATTTCAATATATTTTACTAAATCTGGGGTTTTGGGGTTTTGGGGTTTTGGGGTTTTGGGG